CAATTATTATTTTTTTTTCAAACGATGAAATCAAAACCGGAAGTAAATTTTTGTTTGTTAGGAGAATTACGTACAAACAAAGCAAAATTTTGTATTTTTATAGGTGGGGGGATGGGGGGACGGGGGATTAAAAACAATTCAATTATTTTAATTTAAAAAATTTTTTTTTTACCTTATCCGCCATTTTTTTTTTTATCGTTTCGTTGTTGTTGTTGTTGTTATTCTTTTATCATCTTTCGTATTATTTGTTTTGGTTGTTGTTGTTGTTATATTTCGATTTAACCAATTTCAAACATTAAATAACAATTTAAACAATTTGCGTTTTATAATTAAATAAACATGAGAGAGTGTGTAAGATAAATTGTGGCGCGAACAATTTCGTGTGTGCTTGTGTGTTAGAAAGGTAATAATGGGAGTTTCTGCGGTGAGATGACATTTCCGGGATTTCTAGGTAAATAAATTATTTATATATATATAAATGTAACCGGAAGGAAATCTTAAGAAAAATAAATAATAAACTTCCGTTTTGAAATCCTCAACGAAAAAAAAAAAAATTTTCTTCTGCTTCTCATGATATTTTTTTCTTTTCGAACCGCAAATAAAATTTTTAAACTTTCGAACTTTCTTCCCTCTTCCCCTCGCCTTTTCTCACCGGAATACATTATTATTATTATTATTATTATTATTATTATTTATAATCGAAAATTAAAGACTTTTTCAAGCCCCCTTCTCCTCTCCCTTCCCTCGCAAAAAAAAAAAAAATTATTACGTGTGAAAAATATTTCAACAACTTGTCGACCGATGACGGATTAATGACGGTAATAATAATAATAATAATAATGATAATAATAATGAGTAAATAATTTTTTTGAATCGTTTGTTTTTGTTTGTTACGTCATCATTTCCTACGTAGTTTTTTTTTTTTTTTTTGTACGAATCGCCGCGTTTGTCGTGTAAACCGATTGTGTCAAAAATTACGAAAGGATTTAAATATGCACAAAAAAAAAAAAAAACAAAATTTACGACAGTAAGAAAAGAATAAAAAAAAGGGAGAAAGAGAAAGAGACAGAAAGAGGGAGAGGGAGGGAGGAGAGGTTAAATAAAGACAAAATAGTTACGAAATAATACGATTAAGGTTAACAAACAAAGGTAATAAAATTTGTTTTTTTTTTATGTTATTTTATTTTATTTGCGATTAGGTTTCCTTTGAGAAAAAAAAATAAAATTTTATATTTAAAAAAAGTGTAACAACATAAAACGAAGAAAAAATCGAATGAATTATCGATACGATATATCGAACTCGAAAAAAAAAATAAATAAAGAAAATTCAATAATTTTATCGCGATCGATTTGTTTTTTTTTTTTAATACGAAGACTCGGTAATCTACCAATGAGAAACGATCTGGGTTTTGATTGGTCGATATTTTCTCTCTCTCCCTCTTCCTCTCGATTGCCTTTTGCTGTTGTTTGTTGGGGGGGGGGGGTATTAATAACGTGAAAAATCATTTTTTTTGTTTTTTCGTCTGCTCGTTTGTAAATAAGTAAAAAAAAAAAAAAAATTGGGATTTTAT